GGCACACCTGGGCACACCTGGGCACACCTGGGATACACCTGGGCACACCTGGGCACACCTGGGATACACCTCGGCACACCTGGGCACACCTGGGATACACCTGGGCACACCTGGGATATGCCTTGGCACACCTGGGATATACCCAGGATACACCTGGGCACACCTGGGATACACCTGGGCATGCCTGGGATGCACCTGGGCACACCTGGGCACACCTGGGATACACCCGGGCACACCTGGGCACACCTGGGCACATCTGGGATACACCCAGGCACGCCTGGGATGCACCTGGGCACACCTGGAATACACCTGGGCACACCTGGGCACACCTGGGATACACCTGGGCACGCCTGGGATGCACCTGGGCACACCTGGGATACACCTGGGCACACCTGGGCACACCTGGGATACACCTGGGCACGCCTGGGATGCACCTGGGCACACCTGGGCACACCTGGGCCCCACCCTGACGCGCCACTCCCCCAGGGCCCGCCGAGGTCGCCGAGGGGGGGCCCGGCCGCGGCGCCGGCGAGATCCAGCAAGCGGCCAAAGGTCAGTGAGGGTCAGCGGGACCCCCCAGCACCCCTGGGACACCCCAGGAACTCCCAGGACCCCCAAAACCCCCCACGGATCCCTGGGACACCCCAGAACCTCCCAGGACCCCCAAAACCCACCCCTGTGCACCCCTGGGACACCCCAGGACCCCCAAAACTCTCCACACTCACCTGGGACCCCACAACAATGTCCCTGTGGTGACGTCACCGTTGCGATGTCCCCATCACAACATCCCCATGGACATGTCCCGACGTCCCCATGGTGATGTCCCAATGTCCCCATGGCCATGTCCAGATGTCCCCACACGAGGTCCTTGGGGCCGTGTCCCCCTCCCTGCTCAATGTCCCCACCGGCAGCTCCCCCACGCGAGGTCCCCGCTGGTGGGTTCCCATCACGACGTCCCCACCACGAGGTCCCCACGTAAGGTCTGGTACAAGACCCCACAGCATTGTCCCCACAGCAATGTCCCCATGGAGATCTCCCCATGGCGACAGCAGGTCCCTCGTGCAAGGTCCCCATCACAGTGTCCTCATGCCGATGTCCCCACGACAAGGTCCTCGTGGCAAAGTCCCCTTCGCCGTGTCCCCAGTGACAATGTCCCCATCACAACGTCCCTGAGCAAGTCCCCGTTGTGACGTCCCCATGACAAGGTCCTCGTTGGAGAGTCCCCATTGCCACGTCCCTGGTGCCAGGTCTCCTCCGGGATGTCCCCATCGCAATGTCCCCATGTCGTTTTTGCTCTGTCCCCATGATGACGTCCTCATTGGAAGGTCCCCATTGCCACATCCCTGGTTCACTGTCCCCATGACAATGTCCCCATGACAACATTCCCATCACAGCGTCACCATCACAATGT